TTTAATGGTTACAGTTCAAAAATTTTATAGGTCACATTTAATTCGTTGGTCACAGATTTCAAAATTAGTTAGTCACATATCAAAATTTATAGGTCACACGGTCACAGATTTCCAAATTAGTTGGTCACAGATTTTTTACGATCACAAATTATATAATTTTTAGGTCACACATACAAAAATGGTTAATTTCATTGGTCACATTTTTTCAAATTTGTTGATCACGGATTATTTTTCAGCATATTGCCAAATTTTTAGGTCACAATTAAATACTTGGTCACAGATAACCAAATACTTGGTCACATACTATTGAAATAAAATGTGACCTATAAAACCAAATAGTTGGTCACGTACACCAAAAACCCAACCCCCGGTCCCGATCTACCAATAGTTGGTCACATACACCAACCGACACGACCGCCAGAAATCATCACAGCCACTAGGACTACCAGGACCTCACCAAAATCGCCGCCACATCCGCCACAGCCACCAGCACATCTAACTGTACAACCAACAAAAATACCTAAAACCCCCCATCAACACCAAAATACCATCAACACCAGAACCGCACCCAACCACCACAACACCACCACTAACACTGCACGCCACCGCAATCGCAATCGCAATCGCAATCGCAATCGCAACCGCACCACCACACCACACCGCACCGTCGCGACAATGACAACCACCTATCCAAAACTACATATCCGAAAACATAGATCCAAACCACAAATCCAACACATGAATCCAACTCTGCCAACACCAAAATCAAAGCTTACTCCACCTCCAACTTCGTCAAATGTTGCGCGATGCGTTGTAGCGACGATGTTACTGTAACGCTCACATTATGGCGCGACTGCACAACAGCCACCAGAGATGACATCGGAGGCGAACACACCCAACGACTCTGGCTAAGCATAACAAATCGGAGGAGAACGGTACTCTAGGCAGGGATCTCTAGCAGTGGATGCTCCTTGACAGCGACGAGCACTCCTCGACGACGGTAGAGAGAGAAGAGGAGGGAGATACGAGAGAGGAGAGGGAAAAAATGAAACGGGTGGAAATGAAATTGATTTAGGGTTGTATATATAAATATTTAATTATTAATTTCATACCTGAGTTTTGATTAAAATAATTTTGCACCTGATTTGTGCACTTGGATCTTCAAATTTCTGGAAATATGTAATTTCCTCATCTCATAATTCACGGGTTAAAAAAACACTCATTGTTCAATTTGCCAAAATAGCACCAATAAGGGGTAATTAACAGTGGATGGAAAAGGCTTGCACGATAATTGAGTGGAGCTAACAATTTATGCTCACTGGTGAACGTGTACCTAAAATTAAGATTACGAAATGGAATACCAATCAAGAGACGCCACTCGTGAGTGTAATTAGTCTTCTGAATTGTAGAAAATTTTGATTATATTTATTATGTTTGTCGATACTTTCGTGAATTTTGTAAAGCAAAGCAAAGTGCGTCGAATAATTTTTAATTGAGCAATAATAAAATAGTCGCACATTTTGAATTATGGAGATTTTTGAGATTTTTTTAAATTGAAATATGACATGAATTGGTTTATGAAAGTGTTGAAAATGTCAAAAGAATGTGGTACAAGTTTACCTCTTCTTAGTGCTAGTTATGTTAAACGATGGGCTCGTCGGGTAACATATGGTACAACTCGCATGTTTACCTAATTTTAATGTTATTTATGTCGAGCGTTGGGATCATGTTTAAAGTTGAAAGCTACCTTCGTCATAGTGCNCACCGTCGCGACAATGACAACCACCTATCCAAAACTACATATCCGAAAACATAGATCCAAACCACAAATCCAACACATGAATCCAACTCTGCCAACACCAAAATCAAAGCTTACTCCACCTCCAACTTCGTCAAATGTTGCGCGATGCGTTGTAGCGACGATGTTACTGTAACGCTCACATTATGGCGCGACTGCACAACAGCCACCAGAGATGACATCGGAGGCGAACACACCCAACGACTCTGGCTAAGCATAACAAATCGGAGGAGAACGGTACTCTAGGCAGGGATCTCTAGCAGTGGATGCTCCTTGACAGCGACGAGCACTCCTCGACGACGGTAGAGAGAGAAGAGGAGGGAGATACGAGAGAGGAGAGGGAAAAAATGAAACGGGTGGAAATGAAATTGATTTAGGGTTGTATATATAAATATTTAATTATTAATTTCATACCTGAGTTTTGATTAAAATAATTTTGCACCTGATTTGTGCACTTGGATCTTCAAATTTCTGGAAATATGTAATTTCCTCATCTCATAATTCACGGGTTAAAAAAACACTCATTGTTCAATTTGCCAAAATAGCACCAATAAGGGGTAATTAACAGTGGATGGAAAAGGCTTGCACGATAATTGAGTGGAGCTAACAATTTATGCTCACTGGTGAACGTGTACCTAAAATTAAGATTACGAAATGGAATACCAATCAAGAGACGCCACTCGTGAGTGTAATTAGTCTTCTGAATTGTAGAAAATTTTGATTATATTTATTATGTTTGTCGATACTTTCGTGAATTTTGTAAAGCAAACCAAAGTGCGTCGAATAATTTTTAATTGAGCAATAATAAAATAGTCGCACATTTTGAATTATGGAGATTTTTGAGATTTTTTTAAATTGAAATATGACATGAATTGGTTTATGAAAGTGTTGAAAATGTCAAAAGAATGTGGTACAAGTTTACCTCTTCTTAGTGCTAGTTATGTTAAACGATGGGCTCGTCGGGTAACATATGGTACAACTCGCATGTTTACCTAATTTTAATGTTATTTATGTCGAGCGATGGGAACATGTTAAAAGTTGAAAGCTACCTTCGTCATAGTGCCATTTATGTCAATTTCATTAGGGCTTGTCATGAACCAATAGTCCTTAGGATTTCAATATGAAATTAAGCAGATTCGTAGAGGCCACCAATGTAAGATTTGGAGCAATTGACTGCATGCACATTTTATTTTATGTAAAAGATAGAAAAACTATGTGTAAACTCTTACTTGTATAAGTAAAACAAGAACACACGCTCCATGTTTCTAAAAAGAGGGGTGGCGGGGAGTCCGGTCCCCGCACCAACTTGTTAGGGCTGAACTCATGGACGAATAAATTCAATAGCCTAGAGATGAGCCAATCCTTGTTTCAACTTGGCATGTCGAATCGAGCCTAGGTCCTAAGGTGACGAGCTAGTGCTACATTATAGTCTTTATTTGGTGGGGATTAAAATCAAAATTTTAATTTAAGTTAGCAATTAATTTTAACCACAAATTTTATCAACTTCTATCAACATTTACAAAAAAAAAATAATTTTAAGGGAAAAATTCATAAATAAGGTGTTTAGTTTACACCAATTCAAAAATCATGTTTATAGTTTGAAAATTCAAAAATCAGGTTTTTTTTTTAATTCTAATATAATATAATATAA